GCAGCCCGGAGCTCTCGATCTCCACTGCTTTTATCCTACTCGGCGTGGCCTGGCTCCGCCCTGGCCGCGCCTCCCTTCTCGAACCCACCAGCAGGTTCCAGGGGCCTCCCGATGAGGTCTTCCGTGACCCTTGCCCCAGTTCCTCCGCCCTGCCGGCACACACACACCGTGTATATGCTCGACGGCGTGAGTGCGCTAACTGTCCACCGCAGTTGCCGCTGCTGGACAGCAGTCGGCGCTGTGTCACTACACTAGTACAGCACACCGGTGTGTTGGAGAGCAAATCCTCAACATTTACAATCTGAGAAAGCCTCGCGAAAGCCTACGTGTTCAAGGTTACCCGTAATGCAATGTGCCAGCGCTATTTCAGAATATAACGTTTTAATACAAACCTGTTTATATAGCGATACATTTTGGATTATCGAAGGATCTGTCTGTTATGCAATATCTACTAATTGATAATTATTCGTATGCCAATTTACAAACTGTTGATCAGATAACTTTTTGTAAAGGAATTCTTATCAGGCCCATGGCATAAGGTTCAGTCTCCAAGTCACTCTTTTGATCTGGCCTCTATTTACATGCTATGAAGGCCATTATCAGAAACGTTGCCGATTATATTTTCCTTTTAAGGCAGTGTCACTGATGAATTATTCGATTTTTATTAGTTATGCCCGAGCAACACCGCCAGCGTAATACTGCATTGCCAGATAAGTAGTTTAAACTGGAAACCAGTCAGTTTTAACGAGATGCGAAAACATGCAAATGCAGTGGGGTACATGCCAAGTGCTATGCTGATGTGTTCTCACGCGTGCCATTGCATCGGTAGCAGCATAACGTATGTATTTATCATAACATACTTTTCATGATTAGCACAGTTGTCAACGTATGGTGTGAAAGAAGTTCAACATATATACCTACAATATACTGGAAGGGACATTGGTAAGCTGCTTTAAATGTTTTTTAGCGATTAGTTTCGGGAGGTTTCTAGTTTTCATGGAAAGTGTCTGTGGACAGATAGATGGATATAATATGTCTGAGTAAAGTGTTAAGTGACCTATCATGATTTGAAGCTTTCGTGAATGCAGGAATTCATACTCTTTGGTTCTTTCGGTAAAGTTACGTAGGTAGAAAATAACAGAGATGGATGCAATCTTTGGAAGAACGTTGATCAACCAGGTATAGTGTTAACTGTTGTGCTGGCCGACTCTCTGAGTGTCATTTCATTTCTAAGTTTGCTAAGTTTAATATATTTTTTCTCTCTACCACCTTGTTCCCTCTGTAAATTTCACCCCCACCCTCTCGCCCGTTGCGGCGCCCCCCCCCCCCTCACTCGGATTGGCCGAGGTGTGCGAGCTCTGCGATCCTACATTTACTTGCAAATTCCATCCCTAGCCCCGCCCACTTGCCATTGGGTTGTGCCCACCACAGGCGTATGCGGCTACTGGTTGGGGTGTCTCTCTCGCTACATTACCTCCTGCCTCAGCAGTCCGCCTGCTGTGTTGTTTCACCTGAAGACGATGGCTTGTGTTGCTATGGAAACGTCGTGATGTATTAGTTATTCTTCTATCTACGTGACTTCACCGAAAGAACCAAAGAGTATGACCTATCATCACCTGCCATGGTGAATCTACTGCTGGATGAAGGCTTCCCAAACCACCTCCATCTCATAATCCTGCAATGTAATAGTCCACCTGCACACACACACACACGTATGTAATAGCTCCATCTCCTCGTAGGGTGTACCCTCCCCGACACATTCCATTCTTTGGCTGCCATCATTCTTGACCATCGGCCAAGTAACCTCGCGGCTCCATTAAAATGTTAACAATTTTAGCGGCTCCTCGCAATGATTCTGGGTAAAATTCTCACCCAATGTCTGTCTTAATGGATTTCTGGAAAAAGGCTGTAGAGTTATACGATGAGCTGGGGAAAAACAAGTGGAAACATTCACCGATCGAGAGGTACCGATAAGAAGTTGGTTGCAAAACATGCATGGGACTTTACCTACTGCGCTACCACGTGATTTGACGAGCAGAGTCACCCTGGCGCTGGGGAAAGGCTGCAGAATTCTCTTGAAGTACGCGTCAAGACCGGGCAGCATCTCCGATACGGGGAGCACCATGAGTGTGCATTGGGGAAATTTTCGTTCCAAATATAACTGAACGTTCTACCGAGTCGACACCATTCATGGGAATTGCGTGGAATAGTTATGAAGTGTCAGAGCCGGCCCAGCCACTAAGCGACCCTTGCAATTGCAAAGGGCCCCGTGGCCAGCAGAGGGCCCCCTAGAGTCACTGCTAGCTAGTAGGTGAAAAAAATCATACATCAAAGGGGCCTCCAACCAAATTTAGGGCCGGCTCTGTGAAGTGTAAAGGAAAACACAAGCGCACTCAATTTGGCGATGAGCAATGGCTCATATGCATTGGAGATATGGATGTGTACGTGTAAAGCCATGTTGTCACTCCACTGCTGGATGGGAGTTTCCCCCATGCCATGCGGGCAGTGGGAGTTATTTGACCACAACACTTCACCATCGGGTGCATTCTGGGTGATTTTGTCATAGGCTGTTTAGAGAATAATAATAACAACGTTGTTTATATTTTGGTTCTTCTTTGAAAATGGTTTATCATGTGTATTAAAGCGGGGATTTTACACTGGTTGCCTTTTAATTATTATATCAGCTAGTGAGCGTGTTTTAGCTTTTGAAAATACTATGCAAGATCACTGCAATATATTACTTTGGTCAAAGTGCAGTGACGGGCAGAAACGGTTCTGCATTTCTCCACCGTGATAACGATCATTTCCTGAATAACCAGGAGAAGCCAGTTTTTATTTTCTTAAAAGCACAGGCAACCCTGTATTTTCCCATGGTACCTTGCAAGAGACATTGAAACGATGAGTTATCACCTTGTTAACTTTGTTCCATTTCGATTTAAAACAATCAAGCAAGAGGCCACTTAAAACCGTTCCTCTGCTTGAGGCTACCCGATGTTGCGTACAAGACTGCAGTGCTCACATAATACACGGCGATCCATTTACAGATACTCCACTGATTTCGAGAATGTCCCCTGACTTTTGGTCTCAACGGGTGATCGCATAGCTTACGAAGAGCGTTAAAATGTGCAATGTTTGTTTTCACTATCGTGATTGGCGGGGGTCATGCCGAAGCTTTGAAATTACATTTAGTTCCCTCTATATGTACACGTACACACGGTTACGTGTCCGTTCTTTTAGTGGGGTATCGATAGGTGGATCGCCCTGTATGTGCGTCCACTCCTAAGATTATATTTAAAAAATGTCTCCGAGCAACATCGACATTACTGGAGGTCTGTTCCGTCGAGTTTCAAGCTGCCTTTGGCGGCCGTAGCTTTCCAACGGCACCGTCATCTACACACACGTGGTGTCGCGGTCACTCCGGTCAGCCCCCATTCTTGAGATTCACCCATTCCAGTCCCAACCCCAGCGACCCCGAGATCTCTTTCATCAGCTGGAATAGGATATTCCCTCCCCGCCAACCCGATCTCAGTGTTTCTGGGTGTGTGTGTGTGGAGTAGAACGCTCGAGCCTCTTAAACACATTGCGCGCATTGAGAAGCGAAACCTGGCATCGGTTCAGAAACGGGGAATACCAACGCGGCCCAACGGCTCGGCAGCCCTGGCGCATGTGACCCCACCAAAGTCACGGAAAAAAGCCACGGGCACGGCCATAATCGTTGCCATATAAGGGTTGTGCACAGCCACATCATTGAGATAATCGGTCTTTATTGGAATGTTCCATCTCGCCACTCGCAATGTGAAGGGCATGGGAAATATGCAATGACACACTGGCCCTTGCATTTTGATCGTCGTTGGTTAACATGCGAGCGTAGTTCTGTTTTTTTTTGTGTCTTCATCATCATTTACAGGAACTGACCATATCATACACCACACTTCAAAACTCCCCTGCATAGACTTTCAGACTCGGGCCTTCATAAATGAATATAAAGGACTATTATTTTGATGGATAGTTGGCATTGAGTTTATTTTCGACCATAATGTTTACAAATACTGTATACGGCACTTGGAAATGTTTTGCTGGCGATATAGTTTGTTGTATGGAATGAGGGTGGGATGGAATGGCGATGCACCGATTGCGATGATATTCAAAATGAATGGAAGAGCATTCGTTTTGAAAGTCGTGGCAGTGATGATGACACTGCTGCTGCGATGATTATGCTGTAATAATTTCGTACATTTGCTATTCACGCCTTTCTTATTAATGCAAAGGCCATCGCGAAGGTGCTGCGTTTCAGCCCGCAGTGGTTTCACAGGAGGGAGGCGATGCCACTCCACATTATCCCAATACAGCAATTCGCGTGTACATTTTCAAGGCGACAAATTTGGACCCCGCAAAACCCGCACACGATGACCCAACTCGCGTCGTGTGACGTCGGGGAGCCTTTGACCTCCGGCTGGGAAGCACGCGGGCGCGTGGCATTCGATGCTCAAACAACTCTCAACAGCAGCAGCAGCAAAACCACGGCGGGAATTCCGGAATCGAACTTGCGAAAACCTCCGCCAAAAACGGTACCCCCCCACCCTATCCCACTGGGCCGAGTCGCCGCAAAGCGAGAACGACCAATGGCGTCTTGCACGTCGAAACCGAGGGGGCGCCTTGAAAACGTCCGAACACAATTACGGGACTAATGATTATTATTAATGCGTTCATTCTTGTTGGCACGATTCAATAGGAGTTGCATTTCTCCCAGGGTAAATCACAACCCGAGCAGCTGACCGTGGCACGCGCGCGTGCTGCACCGCTGCCCCCACCCCTGCGCTTTGCGGCAAAGTCAGCCAGATCCAGAAGCTCTCATGCACGCAATCAATCCCGTTTTCATGATACCACACGATGCTTCCAGGGAATGTCCAGTACTGAAACATATATTTTTTATACGGCAAAAAAAAAACGATACACTGGCGCGATGCGTGGAAATAGAATGTCACTCTTTGCAAAATACATATTTTAAATGAGCGGTTTAATAAAAAACAGTAGGCCAGTTAATGTAAACACTCACACATACACTATTTATAAACATAGCAATTAATGCCAGTGTACTCATGTTATTTTCTTGAACAGTAGATCAATGAATAGGATGTAATATGACCAGTGTGAGCATCATCTACTAGTGTTCATATATATATAAGGGAGGGTATCAAAATAAGTCTACATATGCATAACATTGCATTGAATTCTATTCACGTCAAATCGAAACGCAGCGACACTTGCAACATTTCGCGGTCCTGAGCCGGTTATAACAATTCCATATTTCTGAGGCAGGGGACTCGTCACATTTTATTGTAACTCTTTAAATGTTGTGATCAGCCAGCACGTATGGAAGTACACAGGATGCGTGGGACAAGATCAAAGGTAGAGATTATTTCTGGACATATTTCAGATGAACATATCATGAATTTCAAGCACAGGAGGCATATTTACTGAAGGATCAGCCCTGGTGAATTAACACACACCCCGAGACATATATCTCAACTGCATCTTGCAAATTCAAGCCAGTTACTGCAGCACGAATGATCGTAACAAATAAAGAAAAAAACAGTCGATACCAACAACCACCGAGAAGGATATGAGGTGGGAAACTTTAAAATCTGCATACTTAGAAAACATTAACAAAAAAACACGATTTAAAAAATACATTGTCATGTTGCAGTATAAAACGTCACGTGTAACATCAAATAGTTTAATAAAAGTATGGTGCAGTTTAAAAACAATGCGTAATGTGTGTACGAACCACTGAGAAAATGAGTACATGGAAGAATAATGTCACGTATTATTAAACCCCTCAAACACAGGGTGACACATTTATATAGGTACACCACTCATTTCTCAAAACCCTTCTGCTTTCGTCTCAAAAGGTGACCGAATATTGTTAATGCGATGGGCTCCACATATTATCGAGAAGAAAGGTGGTAGTGCGAACCGAGATTCGTGGATCTGTGGCTCACGCACGCACACAAAAAAAGACAATCATCCCCCGTATAGCCTTTAAAGACTGTTGGGGCAAATGCTGTTCGTGAGCACCTATGAAGGCTGGCACATCATGCAAGGGGGTGGGTGACCAGGCCCGGCCGGCTTTGTCTCCCTCGTGGCGATGTTTACACACCGCACTGGGAATTACTTTGAGGTCGAGTCGACCTAGGGGAGGCCCAGGACTGGTTCAGATAATCGTCACTGGTGGTGGCCGCGAGTGGGAATAAAACTCGGGTCGCCGGGTTCGCAAGCACACACGTACACACGTACACACACGCACACACACGCACACACACGTACACACACGTACACACACAGGTCTATTCCTTGGAAACTGTGTGCGGGTTCCACCACAGCACAAGCCGCTTTACGTGCAAAACACTGCAAGAACTGAAGAGGCTTTGACTAAAAATGCAGTTGTCGATAAAATGTCTCCAAACTATTTTCGTGGCGTTTGTATAAATGGCGACGTTTCAGGCAATGGCCCTTCTTCATAGCACAACCTGGAATTGATATTGAGAGAAAAGACATTTCCCAAACCACCCTATTAGATACTTTTACTTTTAGGGCCACCGTGCCAATGACGGACGTGTTGAGCGTGTTGTTATTTGCGCTTGGGCACAACTGCCGAAGCAGCCACATCGCTAAATAAGTCGTTCGGCTATAAATGCATCACCCTGTATACTGTGTGGATACGCACGGATGCATGTGGGTGGCCATGCGAGCACAGTTTGTACACACGGACGTTGGTAAACCGCCGTCACATCTGTCCACAAGCCATTACGGCTCAAAGCATTTAACACCTGCAGTGCCTTCCCACCGTGAGTGCCTCGTCAGGAAACCGTATTCCTCATGCCCGATTTTGCATGAAGCCATTTCAGCAGGCCAGATTTGTTCCGTGTGTGCACGTTTGACAAAGCGTTTCCCCCTCCGAGTGCCTGCGCGTGCGTCTCAGTCGTGTGTGCAACCGCATTTCCTTGTCCCCGTGTCAATTAAGCGTTGCAACGATTTACCGATTAAAACGCGATCCCTTTAATTCAAAACAATATACTCCAAAAGACACCTATCGTCTGAATAACCTCTTGTAAAAATTCTAGGATAGCAAAGTGACCCGGCACACCTTACATGGTGTGGCTTGAAATAGCGATGGACACTTGGGTCAATTGTAGGATGCGTGTTTACCACTGAAGTACCAGTACACCGGTGAATGGCCACTGAAGTGGAAGACACTCGTGACCTTTGGTAATGCTTTTGCGCGGCATGGTACAAGTATGAGCCAGTGTCAGAATTAAAAAAACACGACAGAATTAGTGTGCCTAAATAGCGCACCCACTTTTGACAGAATTCACTCTGCTGCCACAATGTCTGCATCGTGGCCCACACTGCCCCCACATGCACTTCTGGACTACATTGTGAAGTATGGAGGTACAAAGTAATCCTCCTATCCAGAAAATTAATTATATACAATACAGCACTGTTATTTGTCTGCGTTTCACAGCTTAAACCACATTGATTATTCACGTGAAATTACCCGTCCTTTTCATTTGCGCTTTCATTTGTTTGGTGTATTGACCGCACAAATGCACACTACGAAAGTGCAGTAAACAAGAATGTGGCAGGGTTAAGAGAAACAGTGAAGTTAGCAGCTAAAATGTTATTGTGAAAATCCAGTGAAAATCGGCGTCCAACTTGGCAGCTCCACACATTGCGGATGCTATGTTTACGACACTGGCATACGGGGACTTATCAAAAGCATATAAAGTGTGAAGCCACAATTCCGCTCGTTTATTCTGAACAGTGTCAAAAGCATCGAAACAAAATAACTGCTGAAAATAAAAACAATCGATTTTTTTCACTCCACCATTTTACTTAAAGTCGATATCTCTCAAACCAAAAAATAATAAATCCCACGCAATTCCAGGTGGGATTTGGAAGAAGTGGCATTTTAGAGACAGGCACCAGCGCGGTAACAACGTGGACTCGCAGCCAACTGTCCCCGCTCCATCGAGCGCTTGATTGAGGCACCGCGATGGCGAGGTGTTAGCTACCTCGCCTGGTGTACAGGAGGTCGTGGGTTCGATCCTGACCCCGACGCCAGTATATTTGGAGTTTGCATGCCTCTCTCTCCCTGTGGTCTCATGGATTTTTCTCCAGGTCCTCCGGTTTTTCCCTCCACATTTATGTATTGGCTGCTATACCTTCCCACATAAGCCACTTCGTCAATTGTTCCCAGGTCGCTTCTGAAAAAAAAACTACGTAGCTCAGTGGGCCTTACCAGTCCAACGAGGGCTCATTCACTTGATAGGGGAAGCCAGGCTCACAAAACCATACCCTAGCACAGATGATTTACCCTGCAGTGCCCATCACATTACGCAAACTCCATTCGACCCCTATGCAGCTCCTCGAGAGAGCCAGGTGCCAGGCCACTGGCCACGACAGCCACAACCCTCTGCATCAACAGCTCTCACGAGGAGGCGACTGTCGAACTGAGCCGAGCTGTGCTGGGGGCCATGCCCAGCCAGCCTGGCACAGCTCGAGAGGAACTGCGGAACCAGACCTGCACCCGCCAATGCCACGCGCGCACCTCTGCCCACCCCTGACGAGCCAGACTGAGGTGTCTCGCAAGGACGGAGTTTCACGTTGGTTCTACCTCAACTCGGGAATCGGGCAGCGAGAAAAACCACGTGCACTGCGAGGGCCCTGCATTGGCGCGGCTCAGATGTGCAGCGGAAAAGGGATGCGCGCACTGACGCAGAACCGCAGGCGACGTATTTACACGACGCGGCGGCCAACCCCTGCGTGCGCGTGGAATCTACCGGTAGGAGGGGTGGGGAGGGGGGGGGGGGAGAGACGACTTAACGGCGGCGGTGGGGGAGAAGCTCGTCTTCAGGGCTGCTTCTCGTTGGGCACTGGGTCGGCGAGGCCGATCCACACGATCTTGCGCTGCTCATCAGCCACGCGCTCCTGCACAGCGCGCGCCAGCTCCTCGGCGCTCGCCCAGCTCTGCTGCCCCCCGGCGCCGAGGCGCGCGTACAGGCACGGCAGGGCCTCCAGCGCCTTCTCCTCGGCGCGGCACTGCCGCAGAACCTCCTCGTCCGAGCGATCCAGCTTCCCTAACAGTTTCCTGCAACGAGAGGAGAGCCGCGCGGCCGGGGGTAAAGGCCATCGCGGGGGGGCGGGAGTTGGGTAAGCGTGGTGGTTGTGGTGGGGCGAGAGTGGGGGCAAGGAGGGTAGGGGGTCAATCCCCCCAGGGAATTAAATGTGGAAAGGCTCAAACAGAGTACCAGAGTGAGCCTATTTTACGTCATCTTCAAAGGGAGTGGGATTTTATCGTGAAAAAATGACTTTGAAAGATAACTTTCAGATGAATATCTAGATAGAGCTGTCGAAGCATTCAGTTGTTTCGTTAGTCATAGTTAGGCAATTTGGCGATATGTCCGTACAAGTATCTTGTCTGTACATTTGTCGGTTTGTGCCACAGGAAATGCTTATCATGCTAACCTGGTACTTCTTCCGTCGAAAATAAAACACAATAGTCTTTTGTCTGTCTACAAAGAAGTTAGTCAAGACGTTCTAAGACGTTAAAGGAAATTGAACGAAACTATTTACAACTTGTTCCAAAACATTTTGACAGTACCGCACGTACAGCGTGTTGGCTGGGGTGACCAAAACCACGGCTCCCGGGCACTTTAAGTGAGGCTCGACAGAGGCAGCTAATGTTTAATTTTGAGATAGAAATTAACTTGCAACAGGGAACAAAGAATAAAGTTTCAAGTGGGAACAGCTTGTGGCGAGAGCACTCCCCGGGACGCTCCTGCAGATTTCTAGATTCAGGTCCACAGCCGAGCAGAGGGAGCGAGCTGGACATGTGAGCACCCAAAGCGACCAGTCGATTCGACCACCCCACGTGACCCGCTCAGCTTCAGCTTCTTGTGGCTCTCAGCCACATTAGGTTTTGACAATGTGGCTCATGTGGGGGGGGGGGGGGCGGGGAGAGGAGAGGGGTCAACGTGATTGGCCATTCTTGCCCATAAAACAATGTAAATGCTAAAATTTTACTGACACATTTCTCAATTAGGATCAGACACAGAGCGGAAACAGTCATCCCTTGGCAACACTAAATGGGCAAAGTGTCCACACGGCACGTATTCCCACTGTTCAGGATCCTCCCGAAAGAGACCGAGACACAGCGAGGCTCTCCCGGGTAAACAAGTGTCAATCATAATAACAAATATTATATTCTGCTCCCACTGTGTACGCAATGACAAATGTACAAGTGGACACAAGGCGCGAGATGACATCAGACACATTTCCGTCCATTAGTGCAGCCGCGCCGCATGGACGCGAGGGCGTTCAGCACCGCGCGAGTTCCCCCCGAGCGAGCCACGCAGAGGCCGACCGGTCCGACTGGTCAGCCGCTGTGTTCGGTCTCTGTGCGTTTCGGCAGACGTGAGGCTTGCGGAAGACCTGACTTTTTTTTCCGGTGGTTTCAGAGCGGTCCGTCATCTCGCACGTACAAAGCAGAGAGATTGTTTTCCGTGTGGGGCTAACGGATTACATTTCAGTAAATGGTGGCCACCCCGAAACCCCCGCCCTGCGATCGGTGAGACAAATCTCCTCCCTTCTCTAAATCCAGAAGCACAGCATTTGGGACTTACATCCACGGGGTTTCTGTACCCCCCTCTCTCCCCCATGCCGCGGTTCGTGCTCCGACTGAAATATAATTAATGAAAAAAACGGTGGCTTACCCCTTATTCTACGAAGTGAAAGCCGTTCGTCATTTGGACATTTATTGTTTCGCGCCAGCTACGAGACTGTAGAGATCAGTCGGGGACCGTGGGTTTCATGCTCGGCTTGTGGCTGAAATCTCGAGCTGGGGGCGCCACCCCTCACCTGATCTTGCGAATGTTCTTGTCGCCGAGACACACGTGCACGATGATGGGGTACACCTCGGCGTGGTGCAGCCTCGTGATGCACTCCAGCCCCAGGTCGAGCAGGCAGTGCTTGTTCTGCACGCACGCGGGAGCAAGCGCAGCGAGTGAGCGGCAGCGATGTTACAACCAGACCTGTTGTGCATCAGTGCTCCTCTTCGCAATTCACCAAAGTGCCACGATTTGAGGTCGTGAATCGATTCAAGGATCTATTCTTTTAATAACCCTTGCGGTGCGTTGCAGTGCATCTTGTGGTTGCAGGGGGGACATTTGAACTACTTGCGTACAAAAGAGATGGATTGGATAGGAGTGATTTTCACCAGCATGGTTTTATTTGTATGTGGCGAGCGTAAGAATCGATGCTGAAAGGATGAAGCGATGCATCGTTAATTGCCTTCATACAATGATGCTTTATTATTGAGGCACAGCATAATAATTTGCGCCGTTATGGAATAAAAAAGTAATAAAAAAATATATTTTTACGCGTATATTCACCACAAATTATTTTGTGCTGTGCGTTATATAGTTTTACGTCAAACTAAAAACAGATAGGGTCCTTGCCTAGAAAACATCTGGAATTTAACCAACATTGATTCAAGTGAGCATGACTTTGCTGGTGAAACACTCAATGTTGATATTGGTCCAGAGTTTGCTCGTATTAAAAACTCATGTTGCTGAAAGCAATGCACTGCCGGAAGGCCGTGTGGCCAATGGGATGCATAAAAACACATAATTCACTTCACGTGGAGACACAAATATGGAAGGTATATGATAATGATGATTTATTTAGCCTCTAATGTAAGGACGTGCTTGGCAGCGTTGTCAGTGTAACTGTAATAAATGCAATGGCAGTATAAACTGAAGAAGAGAGTCTGTAACCTATCACACTAACCAAGCAAGTCATGAAAATGTCAAACTTCTAACTGGCACAGGACAAAAAAATTGCAACCATTTGTGGGTTCAACAATGCTGTGTGGGTTAAGTGCCAGCCATAATACCACAATATTACCACTCCAGATGCACAGTAAACAGGTAGGAGGCGTTCGTAGCCATCGAGGCACATTGCGGGAGGTTCAAAGGGCACGGTCCTGACCGCACATACCACTGCAACTCATCTAAACAGTGCCGCTGATGATGAGTAACTGGGGCACGCGTGTGAACCGCCGACAAAAGGGAGCGAGAGCGTGCGCCCTCGCGTTGCTGCTGCCGTAGTCACGCACAGCGCCATTGTGAACCTGCCTTGTGAAGACCCATTGTGCGTTTGGAAAACCCCGATTGGAGATGACTCACGCATGACCTGTGGATGACGAAATCGCATCGTGACGAGGCGGCGGCCACGCGCAGACGGCCAAGTTACGAATTACGGTGTAGGGCTAAATAAAAACGTTCAATCGGCATAAAATCACACTTTGTTTTCATTGCGAGTGGGATTTTTTCGCGGCGTGTAATGTCGAGCAGAGGAAGGATTCGTGTTGCTGATGAAAAATCTGAAAATATCTTTCAAAGCCCATCTTTAAACAATTATTGAGAAATATGCGCTCCTGTTTATGGTGGCCGATACTGCATTTCTGAACGCTAATTGAACGTTAATGCGTCGCACGCTTACATCGAGAAAATGCGGCCTCAAACGTCTACAGCAAGACAAACTGTCAAAGCTTGAGCGAAAACTTACGGCGCTCTACGCAGTGATGAGTCTTTTTCAAACTATCAACGGCATGCACTCGCGTAAAAAAACACATGAGCAGGCTTCAAGCAGAGTGGCTGGTTTCAGTGGAAATGTGTCTCCTCCTGTCAATGATTATTCCACCCCAAAAGTACAGCTTGTGCTCTTCTCAAAAAACTTATGACAAAAACACTGCCACATCTTTGAACATCGTGCATGCTTTGCAGCACATCAGTTTAGCGAGACCTCTGCCAGTGCCGTCTTGGCTCAGGACGTTGGTCAGAATGTGCAAACGGCAGCACAACAAACCCTAAACTCATCGTAAGCGCAGATAAAACCTTGCAGCAGTTGTTACAGACTTCCAACATGTTTGACGTGTCTGCGTGCGTGAATTGCAACTCGTTTTGGAGGGCGGTGGAGCAGCACTTGGTGCACTTTGAACCCAGAAACCTGCTCATGGTCAACACCAGTGATGATTATCTGAACAGTCCTGGGGCCTCCCCTAACTCGGCTCGGTCTAAAATGAGTACCTGATGCGATGTGGAAAATATCACCCCTAGGGAAACATAAATGGCCGGGCATGGTGCTGGCCACCCATCCCCGCTGTGCCGTGCTGGCCTTTATAGATGCTGGTGAATAGCACTTGCCCCAACAGTGTTAAGGCTAAATGGGAGACCTTTATCACTGGATTGCAACTCTTTGAGGGCAGTTCACGAAGTCTTTATGAACGTGAAAACGTATATATCACGAAGAAGAATAACAATTCTAAAAATCATATAAGTGTGACGGGCGTGTAAATGAATATATCAATTTATTTACAGCCCAAAACAGGTTGCACCGCTCATATTGATATTACCGAAAAGCAAGAATAAGCGGACGTTTCGGATAATGGCCCTTCTTCAGAGCAGAGAGGAATTGACCATTGCCAGCAGTGATCTCACCACATGCAAAACTCTTTTCAGTCATAAGGGCAGTGTTCGTAAATGACAGCCGTAAAATACTCCTGCAAGCGCTTTTATGCCGCTGCCAAACCCAGTCAGTCACTCCAGTGTTTCCCCTCAAGTGAAGCCAAACACGAGACATTGGGTGCGGCAGCAGCTCGTGCCATCTTTTCCGACTTGCAAGCCAAGTCGTTGCTTTGAATCACCTGCACCGAGGCGCTATTGATGCGCACGCACTTTTGTCTTTCGCTATGCACTTGGGCGGGTGCTCCACATCTGTGAAATGCCACGTGGTCAAAACGGCAATGAGAAATGAGCATAGAGGTCAAAGTGACCCAATGTTCAGATTGTTTTTTAAACCCTTTGTAACTCTAACAGTATTACGTATATGAAATAGGCATAAATCTCAGTTAAGAAATAAGATAAAATGTGCAGAGAACTCTAAAGATTAGAAATTATTTCTAACGAAAAAATGTATTCCGTTAAATTAACTTTCCCAAGAACGAGAACGAGTGACAAAGCGCCGTTGCAGTGCCAACGTTTTTAACAACCTTGTTTCCTCCACTTCACATCGCAAATCTTCCTTCAAAAACATATCCTGAAGCAGACGATGAGTGCTGGACACAAGCAAATTTGCCAATGTGATTTGTAACTTTAATCCTTACCCGCGTGTACATCGTTCAATTTGAATGTGCAATTTTATTGAAGGAACTGCTGTGTGTTTTCTTGCTGTGGTCTGAGACTGTTGTTGTTGTTGTTGTTTTGCCGTCTTGCCCGAGCTTGCATTTATTGTATGAAAAATCGGCAGGCATTGAAATACCTTTGCAATTTATTTATCCCTTTTCAGTGACTTGCTTACCCTTTCCTATACTCTGTATTCCTTTTGTTGTAACTTGCCGAGCCGTCCCCGGACGGACCATCTGTGACAAAGAGCTTGATAGCTCATCGGACAGATTCCTCGGCCAGTCTAAATAAAGATTCCGATTCTGAACGATTTGCCATGCGATTCCCCCTCCACCCTCCCCGGCTGCCTCAGTCGCGGCCTCGACGTCGGGCGGGCGGCGCAGAGACGCGAGCAGGATGCAGCAGCGGACGCACCGTGGCGATGACCTCCTCGACGCCGCGGACGCTGCACACGGTCACCACCGAATTGTTCTTCTCCTCCCTCCAGCCCAGGAGGTCGCCCTTTCGCTGCCTTTCCGCCAGCTCCTCTCTCTGCGCTTCCTCTGCACGCGTCGCGGAACACGAGGAGGCAGGAACGCGAGCGGCGAGGCACAACTTCGCAAGCCGAAAACCTCAAGCCGTGCAGTCGTCCGCACGGGGGTAGTATTTACGCACGGCCAAAACATGAACAAAAGCGTTTGCTGGAAGCGGTCGATAGAAAATAAAAATGCTTTTGCCAATTGTCTGGTTTAGCCTTTGCTGTGATATCGCACAGGAGGGGATGCTACGGCTACGAGCACTGCAGCCAGCAGCACTAGCCACCAGTTGCTTACGTAGTCCCCTATTGATATTGACCACACTGCAATTGGGTATGGATTTCATGCCGAGTTAACCGAGGTGAGGTTAAAGTATTTGTTGTGACCTACTCTGCAGACATACACGGTGACATGTACGTACATACGCATACACGTACGTTGATACATGTTTACATCAGTGCGACCGAAGATAGCCACAAACGCACATGAACAAAAAAACACAAAGGCAGGCACCGAAATGCGTGCGTACACCATCGTTATATTTACGTATGCAAATGCGCCAGCCTGAATTTGCGGCGGAAGGAAGCACGGATTACAGGGGATTGCCATGCACCAAAATCGCGCACCGTTTAGATGCCACGCATCCGTAAACAGCGAGCGAGCGCGCACGCACTGGGAATTGGCAGACGTTCCGGCTCGGGAGATCTCTTCCCCCTGTTGCGGCGACGAGTGCCGCCAGCCCCGTGCCGCCACTTTGTTTGTGAGCTGTCTGCTGTCCTGCAGGAGAGTCCGTCCATTCCCCCAGGGCCACTTTTTTCTTCCTTTAACCCCTTTCTAGTTTTATTGTTGCCAGTTCTTTTGTGTCCGCCAGATTGTGCTGCGGTCAAACAGAGCACACGAGAGAGGAGACGTTCTTTGTCTTCCGTGGAGGAGCCAAGGCTACGCGTGTCTCATTTTGTAAAATGGGCGGAAGTGATGTAACGGGCCCTCAGTCTAACATCCTTCAAGGGTCCATGGTGGACAAAGTGGGTGCATTTGTACAGCATTCTCTCTGTGCCCCACTCATGAGAACAACAACAAAACCTTCGGCAGAGTTTGATCTAAATATGTGCCCAGCAAAAATGTTAACAATTTAGTTTTGTGTGTAGTTCTTTGTGACTAGGGGAAGAAGAGACCAACAACTTGCTACAAAGTGAGCACCTAATCGTTGATATGGTGGTCAGCAGCACTGTCGAGGTAACGTACAAATGAACTCGATCTCTGTGCCGGACACCCAGAAACTTACAGGTTTTATCTCACGAAATGTTAAGGCCAAATATACCACGGCACAAGTTAATTTATCCTCTCAAAGCCACCCCAGCCGACTACATAGGAGGCCCAAAGATGAACTATTTTCAAACTTCTAAACCTGGGATCACGCCGGATAAGCGGGGCCCTGATTGTCGGTCGCCCGATCACGTGCGGCTCGGAGGGACCTTAGCGGAGGCGGAACACGCCTCTTGCTGCCCTTTTTGGAGACGGGAGATGATTTATTTGCACAAGGAAGTTGCACAACCGTACATTTCCCAAACAAAAGCTGTGCGTGCTGTCGGCTTGGCCTGGAGCCCATGTGGGGCCCGATGCCATCTGCCGGCTGAACCATGAGGAAAAAAATCTGTTTGGTGTGTGGCTTTGAGCTTCACGAGCCGGTGGTGCCATTTTTGGGGAGTGTTTAAAAAATACTACCTCAAAGGAATGGCTGCCAGGTTATCTCTTAAATCAGCATAAAAAACCAGCAAAACCCATATCTGTACATAACTGCCAAGGGCATAACCATTTCCACCTTAAAAATGTAAAAAAGGCAAGAGGTCCAGCACTGCAATTCCTTGTTCACATCAAATCTGGCAGAAGAGCTTCCACTGGAGCCAACTCGAGAGGATCTTTGGTCTTCTCTTCCACGTCGACAGACGTGTTGGAAGAGGTGGCGGCAAGCCACGCATTCAGCCCTGCTGCACGCAGCCTGCCGATGGAACTCACCGTAGTGAACCCATGCACACTTCTGGGTGGACAGAGGCATCGTGGAGGATTCAAGAAACTTGCACCGTATGTTTCAACTGCCGCGCCTGGAGATGGATCGAGTTGCCGACCTCTAAATTGCGAGTCCAGTGTGTTAGCCATTGCACCGTTTCCATCCTAGTTCTAGGTAACAAGGCGAGGAATAGTTCAGTCTATTCGGACGGTTTATGATATTCTTCGTGAAAGCAATTCGACGCCACTTTGTGAGGAGTTGGCAGCGGCGGTTCCGTAGGTTAGCTGATGCCTGTCATAGGAACGTGGAATTTCCACCGCTTACTCACGACTGTAGATCAGAAATTAAAACCGAATTCTTGACGGAGCCAGGCACACTTTGTTTACTCGACTTTGAAGAAATTACGCATTTGCCGTTCTGTATGTACGGACCGTCCACAAAGTCCACCGAAACTTCACAGTAAGCGTCCAACGCTGCATTCCAAATGGCGTCCGTGCGTCGTCTCGTCGCCATCTCGGCAGAGCGGAATCCGTCGCCACGTTCGCTTGTTTTGCGCCGCACGGTCGTTACGTGTGTACGTATGTTGAACTTCTGTTGCACCGTACGTAGCCAACCGTGGTAAATCGGGAGGTGCGGGGTTGGCGCGAGGAGGGGAGAAGCGTCACAGGCGCACAGCGTTGCATAGTCGGTGGAGTCGCACGCTGCCGAGCGTACTGGGACTGTCGCAAGAGGGACAAAGAGAGTTCTTGCTCAAATGAGCACCGAGGATGTGGCTCTTCTGCTGTCCGCATCCCTGAGTCAGTGGTGGATATTCCCCATTCCTATGGCAGGAGTGAGTCCATCCACAGGACAACCACTTGACTTTTCACAAAAGTGGACGGGCTGAGGCAAACCCCCAACCAGGATGTGAACTCACAAACTTGCGATTGCGAGCCACTCGCTCTCTCACTCAGCGACCAGGCCGGACTATTGGGCAGTCTGTATATGCCATTGTTGAGCTATTTTAAGCTCTTTACCCTGCATGATATTTCATAAATCATGAATGCGTGCACCGTAGTCTCACAAACAAATTCTGATTCGCATAAACAATGGCCGTGCACATTTTCACGGACAACACTTTGCTTGCGTGTCCAGAAATGTTGCGTGTATACACCGATTGTACCGCCACGTAAACATTCGCGGGCGTGCACACGAACTGTACGCAACAAAAGCATCTTGCGAGGTTTCGTCTCTGTGCCACGATCATCGCTGCTTCGAGCGGAGAAAGATGAAGCCGCTTGTGCCACTGTGGCTCTGGGACTCTGGCCAGCAGCTCCGCGGAACGCTTGTGTGGGGATAGCAGCTCTTGGAAGGTGGGACGGGGGAGGCGGGGAAGAGTTGATTCTGCAGCGAGCAGAACAAAACAGCTCGTCACGCTGGGACTAATAAGACGTTTGGCACAAATCTCTTCGGTGTTGGAACTTGCCGTTCGTCGCATGTGCCGCCCGTGTGGGACGCGTCGCTCGACTTGACGTTCGGCCAAGGCAGACAAACAGCGTCGTGAGCACAAAAAAACCCCCTTGTTAACGACCGGGTGTTAACGACTAATCGTGTAACAACAGGCCTCCATAGAGCCCGATGTGTAGTGTATAGTAGTGTAGTGTATAGTGTAGTGTATAATGTAGTGTATAGTGTTAACGACTAATCGCGTAACAACAGGCCTCCATAGAGCCCGATGTGTAGTGTAGTAGTGTAGTGTAGTGTAGTGTATAATGTAGTGTATAGTGTTAACGACTAATCGCGTAACAGGCCTCCATAGAGCCCGATGTGTAGTGTATAGTAGTGTAGTGTATAGTGTAGTGTATAGTAGTGTAGTGTATAGTCTAGTGTATAGTAGTGTAGTGTATAGTCTAGTGTATAGTAGTGTAGTGTATAGTAGTGTATAGTAGTGTAGTGTATAGTAGTGTAGTGTATAGTAGTGTAATATATAGTAGTGTAGTGTATAGTAGTGTAGTGCCTCCATAGAGCCCAATGTACGTTTTTTGGGTGAAAAAATTGTAACTTTCCATGCTATCTCAAGAATTACTATACTCACTTAATGACCAAATCACTTAACGACCGGTTTAGTGTAACCAATCGCTGTCGTTAAGAGGGCTTCTACTGTGTTTATATATACACTCAAATTGCGAGTGGTGGCACAGTGATTAGCGCGCTACACTTATATTCTGACGACCGGTGTTCCGATCAATGCTCGTGCGCAAAAAATGCCGAGTGGCGCTTAAACACATCCTGCGCCACCGCTAGCTCCACTCGGCCTTAAACGATGACACCCGCTGTGGTGGGGAAACATCAATGTGGAGCTACAAGGGCGGTGTGGCACGGTGCTGGCCATGTCAGCCTTAATTGCTGCTTGCCGAGAGCACTTTTGCCAACAGTTCTGTACACGATGGCATGGAGGATATTTAACGTGCGTTCACGTCAAGTAGGGGGTGAGGGGAGATGCGTCGATTTATCGGTTTATATTGATTTTAAGTTCGTGATGTGTGCGGCTAATCGCACACATGCGAGAGTCGATGTGGTTAGAGTCGTACGTCGTATGAATGGGTTCACATCATCTCTCCATCCACTGGAGGCGCTACGATCGACTGCCGTGTTGAAAAATCGATTCTTTTTTTTGTTTAAAGGGAATTGCTTCTCGGAGTCCAGACAAATCATTGCATTCCCGGGGTTGTGAATTATCATTCCACCCTCTTTTATGTACGAGTAGTCGTGTGTGTGTGTGTGTGCAGCGGGGGTCTGTGCGCGTACCCATGGGACACTCGGCGAAGTCGGGGCCCGTGAACTTGGGGTAGACGACGCGGCACAGGAAGGAGGGCAGCAGCAACACCGGGCGGCGGCACGGAGGGCGGCACGGACGCACCAGCGTGTAGGGCATGAGCGCCGCCTGCCCGCTGGAGTCGGCCTCCCGCTCGCGCTCTGTGGGCAACACATACACCCAGCGTCATCGTCATAGCCACCAGCGACCATCTCCATCATTGCCACCTTACAATCACCATCATAGCCAGGAACCATCTCCATCACTGCCACCTTAGAATGACTGTGATAGTTCGCAACAATCACCATCGTTCCCAATTTTTGTAACTCTTCTGAGAGTGACGGCGGGGGGCCAAATAATCAAAAGGCGCGTTGACTTTCTGACCACTGTGCAGGGTTGCATTGAATGAGCTGTGCACGCGAGCAAAGACGCTGTGTACACACGTCGATAGTGGTGGCAGCAGGTGAGTAAACACACAGGTGTGGTACAGAAGCCCTTTTGGTGGCGTACAGGGGGGAGGGGGGGGCAGAGGGGTGCAGCGACTCACAAGTCCACAGGCAGCAAATCAGTGAGAAGGGCCCAGGCTGGCAGTCCCCCTTCACTGTGCGAGGGGATTGGGGGGGGGGGGGTTACGGAGGGGGGGCAGCACCCCCCACCCAATGTAACCGCTTCACAGGAAGGGGGCAGGTGCCCATCCGCCACAGCTGCAGTACTGCACAACGACTCGCGCTCTGCCGCGTCACGAAGCTGCACTGCACCTCGTGCCGAACATCGAATAGCACGCAGTTTATAATTCGCGTGCAAGTATTGTTAAGGGATTTATTTTTTTGTTCGCCAGCGGTTTTCTTGGCCTCACCAGCCCCCCTCATGACCAACCGCCACCGCTCAGTGCACACTTGAGTACAGCCAGAGAGGAAGGGGCATTCCATTATACAACTTAAAATAAAACTATTTTTATTTTACCAGGTAAGGCCCACTGAGCTATTTCGCACTTTTTCAGAAGTGACCTGGCCACAAATGATAGCTCAACAAAGTGGTTTATCGTGTGTAAATTACTTTTAGCGCGTGATGTTGATTCTAAATGTGGAGGGATAAACCGGAGGACCTGGAGAAAAATCTACGCAACTGCGGGGAGAGAGAGACACACAAACTCCAAATATACAGCAGGCGTCAGGGGTCAGTCGGGATTCTATCCCACGACCTTCTGCTTACCAGGCGAGGTAGTTAACATTTCGCCACTCTAGTGCCTATTTATTCAGCTGTACCAGCAGAAGAGGAGCGATGTATCATTGAGCAAACGGCCCAGAGAAGGGAGTTCAACATCGTCAAGAGGCATAGGCCACAAGGAGGGCAGCAGAGGCTTATCCCTGTAGAGCTTCAATAGTTCTGTTTTGTTAACCATCCTCCCAGCGGTTTCTTTTGGCCAATTTGGGCTAATATCCTTAAGCAGAAGATTAGTGCTGCATACAACCGCATTTTTCAAAATGTGATTTGTAACTTTCATCCTGACCCATGTATCGATAGTTACATTTTAATGTGCAATTTTATTGAGGGACTCCTGTGTGTCGTCTTGGTGTGGTCTGGCACTGTGTTTTGCTGTTGTTTTGATGTCTTGCCCAAGCTTGGGAACGATCGTACTTATGAAATGTTTGCTTTGAACATTTGATCTATTTGACGCATTTATTTTGAGTAATTTGCTTACGTTTCCTAATACTTTGCGTGCCTATCGTGTTTTTGTTTTGTCGTTGTAACTTGCCGACCCCCCTGCCGCTACTTGAAATCTGTGGAACAAAAAAAACGCGTCGTAGCCCAGGAGATTTCCCCGGGATAAATAAAGATACCGATCCTCACTCCGACACTCACCAATGCCGTCCAGCGGGGCCGGAGCCTCCCAGGCCCCACGCAGAGGCCCCGCCATGCCCGCCATGAGGCGCACGCGCTCCCCGCTCGACTGCTGCTTGTACGGCTGCACCTCCGATCGGCCCAGCAGCTGCTGGATGGGAAGGTGGTGCGAGATCGACAAACAGGCAATGGCCGATGAGGGAGCGGGCACGAGACGTGCCAGAGGGGCGGTTGAAGGTTGTAGTCGGTAAAAAAATGAAAAGGTGAGGACAGGATGAGGGTGGCTGTTGTTCAGGTGTAAGAGGTTAAAGGTGCAGCCCTGCAATTCCCTGCTCACGTGCCACTGCTGGTGGAACGGCCTCCACTCGAGGGGGGCTCCTAGAGAGCGCCCCTCGATTCGGATTTGGGCTCATCGTCCACGCTCACCAGATTTCCTTAAATCAAAACATCAACTTTTAAGCGCTGCACGTAGCCGTGAAGCTGAACACTTGATTCATAAATAAGTATAACCCGTAAAAACAAAGTTTTTCACTATAAATCCTTTATATGCGTGGCGGCTAGAGTCCTCTCGTCCTCTGGCTTGAGATGGCTGCCACCTATGGATCAGATGATTGTCTGCCAGTATTAACAATTGGTAATTAAATATTTAATTTGTTTTCCCTAAACAGTGTAAAATTTTGGAAAACATTTTTCACGAACATTAATTGTCTCGCACAACGAGTCTGTGTGCAAAATGTCAGCTCGATTGGATCATGGGAAGTGGGTTAAAAAACGACCGAAAGATTTGCACGGTCGTAAGCAAGCAAGCAAGCACGCAAACTTAATATAAAGGATTTAAAAATAAGAGCAAACTACGGTTACATTTTTCACTGCGACAATCACTACTGTACGATTCTTACGTGAGAAAGTAGCAAAAGTCTTGGAAGAGGTAAAAGAGTACCCACACTTTATCCCACCACATGTGAACAGCCGAGAGTCTAACTGCTGCTCCCGTTTATACTGCTTGGGTGCACAGAGGCACGAGGATTTAATAAACTTGCACCATTGTTTCAACTGCGGGAGGTCAAATTGAACAACTTCTGAATTGTCATTTCAGTGTTCTGACCATCGCACAACGAGTGCCAACACACATGAACGTGTAATTAGCTATGGTTGGGGGCGCCATGGTGGCAAGATGTTCACTACCTTGCCTGGTATACAGGAGGTCGTGGGTTCGAGCCTGACACTGACGCCTGTATATTTGTAATTTCCATGTCCTCTGCGTGGTCATGTGGATATTTCTCCGGCTCCTCTGGTTTTCCCTCCACGTTTAGAATCAACATGCATTTAGAGTATTTGGCAGCTATAAATTTCCACATTAGCTATCATTTCTGGCCAGGTCGCTTCTGAAAAAAAGATCTATATAGCTCAGTGGGCCTTACCTGGAAACATGAATACAAATGGTTTCGTTTTGAGTTTAGTTTAGAATCCCTTCACGTGTCACTCTGGATGAAGGGTTTCTGTCGTACAAGTAGTGGACCATACCCCACGAAGTCGTGCGGGTCGGGAGCACAGACGTGCAAGCGCAGAAGCACAGCACAGCAATAACGTGACACCAATGCTGGCTTTATGGGCAGGTTGCCCTTGAAAGAGAGCAGTTTATCTCAAATTGGCTTACGGGTTTCAAGAGAGGCTAAAGTCTAAAGCAATGAATTTCACTTCAATGCCCTCTGCCGAGCACCACAGTAGTACGAGTTTTGAGTGCCACTTTTTCAGTCTCGTTTGTAATTTGCGATTGCTCCATTAAACATGCAAACTGAACAATATGAATTCCATCAGCAAATACTGAACACGAATAGTAAATAATCGACTTGATGCAGCGGTTATTCACAGCGATACATTGTGAGCACAAGAAATCGACGTCGTTTGGATTACTGCATCGTTATGTCGTTATCAACGAGAACACCGTTGTTGTTCATCGAGCAGTGCATCAGCCACGTGTCCCTGTGTCGTAACATTTAGTCACCCTCTTAGGCGAGGTGTTGGGCTCGGCAGGAGCAACTCAAGTGCCCGGAGACAACCCACCACGGACGAGGAACTCTCCAGATCCTCACAGGTAGCAGAAGAACCCGCTTGTTACTCGTACCGCCTCCCAAAGACGGATGTCATGTCACAGCTCCTCGTGTATCACTTGATTGTTAATCGCATTTTCCATTCGTAGGGGACGCTGCTATGGTGGCTCACAGGACTTGCAATCCACAGCTCGGCGGTTCCAGACTCAACCTCCCGGAGTGGCAGTTGAAACTATGGGGCAAGTTTCTCAAACACGCTGCCTCTGCGCATCCAGCAGTGTTCATGGATTCACCACAGGTCGTGTCAAGTGAGAGTACTCGTACCTCTTTGAAGACTTTAAAAATAATATACTTTTCCACGTAACAATTAAACAACGATGATAATATTTTTAACTCGTCCAGTGTTCAGCTTCTGGCTATGTGCAACACTTAAATTTGGGATTTAAACGATATGTGGCGCTTCGGAGTCTTGCTGTAAGCCGCCAAGGAAGTATGGCAGGTAGGCTTTATCGTAGTTACAACATCCTTGCTTGTAGATGCCACAGAAAGAAGTGCTTGAGTTTTAAAGGTATTGTTTCCATGACACTTATCATGGTACTCATCACGTAGGCAGCACTATCTCGCTTGCCACATTTCCTTTATGGCTGCAAACGGCGATTACCAGTCCCTTTAGCTGCTTTGCGGAACAAATGTATACATAGGATGCATAACGGCCGGCCGACATTTCAACTTTACACAGCAGACTTTTGTTTTACTTTTCAGAATGATATTAATGAAAGTCTTAGTGGACTTTTTCGGCTGCAATCCCAACGTATATTTACTTCAAAACGCATTCTAAGCCTCATATATCTGGCAGAAAGTCCAAGTATCCCGCCCCCCCCCTAGCTTCATCATATAAACACCGAGCCGTGCTCATTTCCATTGGCTGTCCCGAGCCAGTGGTGGAAATCCCACATTTCTAATGGGAGGACCAGTCTATGAGATGACCACTAGTGACTCTCCGACAAAACATAAAGACCCATCACCTCCCCAACCACAGCCAGTGAGTGAATTAATTGTTGTGATTGGGATTTTCAGAATCGTATTTTACATATATTTTTGTTGTGGCCTCAAGTGGCTTCAAAGGTGACAAACCATTAAATACAACAATTAATAATCGAAAAATAAAGATTCTTACATATGCTACGCGATGGACGCACCGTGAGCTTTACAACAATGTGAACCGAACAGCAGATGCGTCAACACGCCCACAAGTGTTCACCGACTGCTGCTCATTTTACCGACTCGGAGGAATTGAAGAAAGAAGTTGACCTGGATTTGAACTCCGTTAATCCGCGACGACACGCACGGCCACTTGCATTTCCTCTCGCCCACCGCAGGTACTCAATTTAGCCCGAGTCGTCAACTTTGGGGGAGACCCAGTCACGTGGGGATAAGTCGACAGCCCAAATTGCCACTGTGGTTGCTAAGGACCATGTACTGTAAAGTGCATCACAATCGCTACGAAAACAGCTCCCTACTACCATTACCAACCATCATCAACCATCAGCCCCACCACCATCAGCGCCAGTGCCATTAACAACAACCAGACCACAGTGGCAACAAAAAACTGCAACAGCAGCAAAAAAATGTATATGCAAGCACACGGATCCCACCGAACATGTGTGTGGGTGATTTCACCTACAGATTCAGACGCAGGATTTACATAACCGATTTAAGAATCGTTTCCAGAGAGACCCTACCTCCCTCTAGTGGAGGCGCAGGTCTGACGAAGGCATTTGGCAGAGCAGCAAGAGGTGCTTTCAGTCGGCGCACTCGCGAGCATTCGTGACGCACCTCAACTTCGGACGAATTCAATGTTTGCGGTCACTGTGTTCAAATATCTTATTTCGATTTAAAGCTTTCGTGACTGCAGGGATTAATCTTCTTGGTTCTTTCGGTAAAGTCACGTAGAAGGAAAATAATAAATTAATAAAAATAAAACATTATAAAATAATTCTCACAACGTTTATTATTTTCCTTCTATGTGACTTTACCGAAAGAACCAAGAAGATGAAATATCTTATTTTTCTACGTACCGAGTGTGCCTTTGTTCAAATCACTTTACGCAATAAAAAAAAACGGTATGAGCAAAAACATAGGTACCATAGCTTTCAACCCATACGGTTTACCCGTATTCTTGTACAGAGAAATTGAGTTTCGGTTCCATACGGCGTACAGCCGTTTCAATACAGGCATTTTTTTTCTATTTGTTTGTATATCTCCATTGTGATGGGACTTTGTAGGATGAACGTTGAGATTTAGAAGGGCACGGGGTGACCAATAAGGTCTGAATTGGTCTGTAATAAGGGACAGGTACATGATTGGGATGGCAGGAGCGTGCAAGGGATAAGGGACGACCGTCTGGTTTACGGCTCCTCTATTCTGGCAGCCCCAGACCAGCAGTGGAACTTGGCCATTACTACCACAGAGGCCACTCTCCCGCTCCTCCATAGGATGGCCAGTGTTCACGCTCTGGGAAGTTACACTCATTTGTTGACCCTGGAAGAACTTATTGGGCAGAGTTGACCCTTGCCCAGCGTCAAACCTGCAACCGCCACCACGGTGTGTTTAACACTACAGAGTGCAACACCAGGCTGTTTCTTAAATCGGTTGCCATGCAATGTATACAAACACACACAAACACTGTACGCAGGTAGCAGTTTGCAAAGTCTGTGAACACTTTGAAACGACCCAAAGCCTTTTGATTGCTATTCACATAACGTACGCAGAGCCACCAGGGCAGAGACCATAATAGTTTTTTTGGGCTAGATTGCATTCATATAAATGTGTCGTTAAACCCACCACCACCCGACACAGCCAATTAAGGTTTGTCACGTAAACAAAACGTGCCAATTTGTTACTCGTTCATCACATCGGTGTGTTGGAGAGTAAACCCATAACATTTGCAATTCGCGTACAACATTTCAACCGGTAATTACAACCAGCCCCATCAGGTGACAAGACATAATTGTGACCAGAGCGTGAGAAAGAGGGGCATATCTTCTGAGATGTATCACTTAGCCAAGAAATAAATAACAAGATTAAGGAGCACTATGTCAGTGCACATTCGTAATCGAATGCCATGTAAAACAACACGGAGTTGTTTGGAAACATCGGCTAGATTGGGCTGCAGGGGCTATAAACTTGTGCAGGAGTCACCCGCCGATGGATCATGCGTCGTTGCTGCACAGTGAGTGAGCGAGCTCTGTGAACAGGGGGGCCGAATTCCAAAGGGCATCACCCGAGTTTCCTAAACACAACATTTAAATATTGCTCTTGGCAAATGTTTTTTTTTGCATATAAATAAATGCCGGGCAAATTTTTTTTTTATTCACCATAAAATCTTTTTTTTGCTTATTACTTTCTCCAAAACCAAGTTTTTGTTTATATGTTTCACTTCAAGGTTTCTTTTATTTTTTTTCTTAAGCGTGTAGAACGCGGTTCCCAAAAGTATCCAGTTGAAACGCTCAAAAAGATTTAGTAAAAAAACGTAAACTATGCAGCGCAGCTGCTCTATCAGCCGTGGCCACGGTAATGGCAGCCCCGGGGCTAAAGAGTGATCACAGACAGTGTGCAGCACAGCTTAGCCAACACCAGCAATTATAATTATAACATTACGTTATTAATTCATCTATTTCATGGCGCCGTATATAATTGCAATTTATCGTAACGATGCTCAATATATATATATTTTTTTATTCAGTTTTCTATTCCGAGTGCCTGCGAATTTCCATTACACGGTGGAAGCTTGCGCTGTTTTGTTCGCGGTGCTGGTGGCACTGCTGGCTCCGTGCGTGGCACTGCTGCTGCTTTTAACCACCTGCTGCCTACTACTTACGGCCCCCTTGCTAATGGTCTATAATTAATCATTGCCACTTTAATGATCACACACCAGCATACGAGAGTCTGGGTAGGGGTGTCACGTTTATCACCCCCCCTCTTTCCCCTCCTTCCTCCCCCCACGATTAAAATTATTGTTACAGTTGAAGGTCGCGATTCAAATTCAGAATTCAAGTACATACGTCAAACACGTGACGCAAAATGGCGATGGTTACAAGACATGTACGGTTGGCTTAAAAATAAGTATTGCTTCATGAATTGACATTTCTTGATGGCTCTGTGTTAAGTGCTGCCCATCACTGGGTGGGGGTGGGGGGCTTGCAAATCACACAGGTGGCGGACAGCGAGAGGCCGTCCCCAGCGGCATCAACCAAACCGTCACAAACCGAGGGTTTGCCACGTAGCGCCGCGGTTGTGCATGGCCTGGTGAGAAGCAGCGCAGCTGAATTCCGGGGGGGGGGGGGGGGGGGGTTGGAGGGGGTGGGGAGTCCATCGGCAGAAAGCCGCAGCAAGCTGTGCGAGGCCGATTATGTGAAGGGAGGTGGGGGGGGGAGAAAAAAGAGGAAATGAAACCTGCAGGAAGTGGTCGATGACGCCCACCCGGAGGCCGCTTCCTCCTGGCCGGCCAGTGTCCACCGCCCGGGGGCCACCGTCACTCGGGAGGCTGCAACTGCACTGCAGGGAGCCCTGGAAGGGAGGGAGGAGAGAGCGGGGATCTTGTGAGATGTATCTACGCATGTTGAACTTCTTTCGCACCGTACGTAGCCGACCGTGCTAAATCGGAGGTGCGGGGGAGGGGACAGGAATGGTGGTGGAAGAGATGGCAGGAGCGCGGGCCAGCGGCAGGTCCCGGATGTCATTTGGAGCTCTGAGAGCAGGGAGGGGATTTTGAACTGGGCCACCAAGTCCACTCTTGCTTTTGTTTGGGTTATTCTGCGCCACCCATAAGTGACGTTTCCCTTGCGCGGTGCGAAATACGTCGTGGAAATTATAAATCCCAGAGAAAGACTGCCGCTCTTGAAACCGGGATAGTGATTTCTGGACAAATGTTACCCACAATCCACCAAGGACGCCTTTAATACCAGGGGTCAATTACCATTTAATTGTCTCGTTCACAAATAAATTTGCAAGCACGAGATAATTGTATTTTCAGCCAACAAAACTTCTGTAATTGCAATTACATTTTGACCTCAGGTTCTGGTTAATGTGTTTTGTGCAATTTTGCTCCAGCGATTGATTATGGAGACCTCTGGTTTATGTTACCCACAATCCACCAGAATAGCTGATAATAGCTGCTGTACAACGTTGTTGGTCTGTAATACACTGAATGGGCTCCATGGTGTTTGTAAAGGGCTCGGCATTAACCTAACAGGTTATATGCTACTGATGAAACTTGGTGCAGAAGTCCCACAAAAATGATGGTCTACAATGTTATTTATTTTCATGCTGGAAAACAAAACCTCGTCTTTATTTTGGGCTACCTCTGCTAAAGTTTTTTTTATTAGGATCATTCTTTACATTTGTCAGGCAATGGTGGCATGCGTCTGTAAGCCACCACTGTCAAGGCGAGAGTTGGCGAATCATACAAATGTCATGAACGTCTCCTACAATGAGCGTCGAGGTGCCATAACCCAGTCCAGCACGTGGATTAATCTGTCTGTTTCCATCTGTACGGGGCGGCGGGGGGGGGGGGGGGGAATCAGGTTGCCCAGCGCGCATGCGTGGAAATCTCTCCGTTTGTTTTCTCCCACGTGTATAATGGAGTTTGGCAAAACATCCCAAGTCAGGGCCACAGAGCTTGGGCAATTGTTGCCGCCACTGTTGGCTGCCTTTGCGCTCGTCTCCGATGTCCCACGCCGCAATTCGTGCATGTTGCAAGTTTGTGACGAAATTAACTTGTGCGCTTTAATACGGATCAAACTCTACTTGAGAGGTAACAGATATTCAAGCGACACATTCCGTTTATTTTCCCCAAACAAAAAAAGTGCTGTCCCGGTTTGCCTGCAGTGGGAGTTGAAACCTTTGACTTTGTGGAAAGCGACGTGATGACAAGTGCTGACCACGAAAGCCACCGTTTCCCCGCCTCATTAAAATCGACGCGACAGCAGCCGCACGGCGCAGGCACGACTTGGGGACATTTCTGTGCCTAACCCACCTTTCTCATCTTGCCCTGCGCGCCATAGGAGTCCGTTTCATCCGCGCTGGTGCGTCGATTCATGAGCCTCTTCAGCTTGGCCAGGAGCAACTGCTGGGCTCTGAGTGAGAGAAATGTGCCCGAGGGAGGAGCAAACAAGAGAAGCAGCGACGCCTTTATTTAAATTCAGATGAGAAGCGACCAAGACCATTTCGTTCTTGAATATCATGGGAATAATTTCAGGTGCTAAATGCAAATTGTTGAGGTCTTTTTCGCCACGGAAATGCTTCATGTACTTTTGCTAATCCTCCATTGAGGCACCGTAGACTACAGTGGTTTACTAGCAAGAATAAAACATCTCTTTTGGAATGGAGACCTGGCTTACAAAGTGTAAGGTACAAAGGAAATTCATGATCAAACGAGATCCCAATAACAAACTTAAGGGTAACAACAAGGCGGCCACGTGGCTTAGGGGTTAGATCGCTGAGGCTGTCATCACTGAATCCTCGGTTCAGATCCTGGCAGCCACTCTTGACTCAAGCGGCGTATATCAAGAGTCGTGAATTGACAGTCTTAGTCCGGTCACTGTTAACTGCACAAAAAAACCGCCATCATATTAAAGTTGGGTTTGTACTTTGGTGAAATTCTGGGTTTTTAGGAATGAAAAACATTGCATTGACTGTCACAGAATGGAAATATCTCTGTGTAGTCGGGTGGGAGGGTAAGTGCTGCCATGTGACCTGTACAAGTGTTTCTTTTTTACGTTGAATGGTGTCACATATATGAATGGAGTGCTCTTGCCAACAACGTCTGGTAATCCAACAGCATTTGGTGAACAAGCCTGATGCTTCTGATGAGAGCCAGAAAGGTGAAAAGCGGTCCAGAGTTCAGTCACTTCAAAAAATACCCTGAATTCTCAATGCCAATGCGCAATGAGTTTGTGTAGAGCGTGCAAGAGGTGATAGAAGCAGTTCTGTGATATAAACTTCTGCCGGCCATTGCACCGCGCTCTGAGCATTCCTAATTAATTACTTAACTCGTCGCCATCATGCCGACAAAGCACGAATCGCGAAAAATATGGAAAATAAAATGTAAATTAAGGTAACAAATCAAAGTTCTACGCACAAGTTAAACCGGACTAGAGACCAAAAACATTTATGTTCATCCGGTCTGGAAAGTGAAGCCAGTAATCGATTAAAAACCTCTCTGGCAGGGAAAGCTCTCTAAGAACAACAACAAAACAATTATGGCGGAACCTATGATAGTATCGAGAATCTTTTTCTTTGCATTTTTGGTTGAATAGACAGTGCTTGTGCGCGTGGGCAATGCCAGCTGGTGTTCTCCCAGACTGCAGGAGGAGGGAGCTGGGAGGGCGGGAGCTGGGAGTAGCAACAGTGCGAGGGAGATTGTAGATTTTCCCACGCCCGTCTTGGCAGGGAAGCCAACTCAGCTGCTGAAGCCACAGCCACCTTCCTGAACGCCCTCTCACTCTCCCAAGTCTGTAAAACTGACACCACATTCCTTTCCAGATTTTACATCTGTAATCACATCTGACTCAATCAATGGGTGGCACCTAGCCAACACGGTGAGGTATTTATAGAAGACATTTACAATAATACATTGGAAATAATGAGACAAATGCCAGCCCTTTGTACATCCACTCTTGAATGAAGGCCCTATCTGGTAGCATCATTTGGACCACACAAATGCCGTGAAACTCTCTTCCCATGAGGGTCGAGGAGGTACTGTACTCGAGCTTGCCAAGAGAAGACGGTGCTGCAAAATGTGGGCGAATATCATCGTCCCTTCTGTATGGGATAGAGCGTTGTCCCCTCGCAAGCGTGGGATTTTCTCTGGGTGATCCGATTTCCTACCTCAAGTATGGCCACACTCATCATTAATTGGCTGAAAACACGAGTACACCGCTTGGGCAACTGCTGGCGCCGGACCACCATGTGGCTGCCCGTCCTGTGTGTCCGAGTGTTGTCGTTGAATCTGCTATTCACGGGGCTTGGTGCAGCTTGAGGAAGGGCGGCCAGGACATTGTTTGTCACCAACATTAGCCCTGGACGTGGGACCAGACTCAGGTTGGCAGGTTTATAGCTCAGTGCATTATCTCCTGCACCGCTGCTCACCACCAACAATTATAATAATAACAATGCCCGTTATATACCCGGTAGTAATCCTCAATGACCCTCAATGATTTTTCAGCAGGCTCCTGCAATGTATTGTCAAATCCATGCATGGGTGATTGGCCTCGTATCTATACGCATGCAACTCAGCTTTAAAGGCAATAATGCCAGCGCTGTTGAAGGACAGCACCTATTGAGGCGAGCATTCGAACACAACTACGATCACACAACCATTGCCCCCTTTAACTCCCAAGGCTGATTGTTGGTACCGCGCAGCGTACAATCACTTGAAGCTGGTTTGACCGAGAATAGTGTTATGTACGCCCACTAATTAAACTGGTTTATCAGGAATGGAGTGCTCAGTGCACAATCCACCACATCGCTGCTCCTATGTACAAAGACAAAGATCCCCCGTATAGTCTTAACAGAATGTAGAGGAGCAAGTGCTGTTCGCGAGCACCTATGAAGGCCGGAGCGGTACACGAGGGGGTGGGTGGCCAGCACCACGCCCGACCGCCTTTGTCTCTCCAGTGGCGATGTGTACGCACCGCCTCAGGTACTCATTTGAGGCCGAGTCGACCTAGGGGAGGCCCAGGACCGGTTCACACACATGGGAGCTACACACACACGGATAGGGAAGCTGCCGAGCAAGATAACGCCTGTGTGGAATAACGCACGGGGTCCCACCATCGTGTGCGCGTGTGAACGCAAAACAAAACCGCTCGCTCACAATCGCAGGATCATCGCCACTCTTAAGTTACGCATCCCTGGGCCCCAATGACGGGCAGTGATGGTGGAGATGGTGATGATGGTATTGATGAAAAAGGTTGTGGTAGTGGAGAATGTGGATGTGATAGCTGTCGTTGTAATGTTGAAGGTGGTGGATTTTGTATTGGTGGTGGTGGTAAAAATCGACATGTGATGGTGGAGAGCGGTAGGGTAGCAGTAAGCACACTGCCCGACAAACCCAGTGATCAGAGTTCAATTCTTGCTCACGGGCAACATCATTGACGATTATCTGAACCGGTCCTGGGTCTTCCTTAGGTCGACGAAACCTCAAATGAGTACCTGGTGCAGTGTTTAAACATCGCCGCTAGAGAGACAAAGACAGCCGGGCATAGTGCTGGCCACCCACCCCCTCGTGTGCCGTGCCGGCCTTCATAGGTGCTCGCTAACAGCACTTGCCCCAACAGTCTTAAGGCTATATGGGGGATCTTTGTCTTTGCTGCGATGGTGGCGGTGGTGTAGATGGAAGGGGTGTAACGGTGGCAGAAATGATGGCGTTGGTGGTGACGGTTGGCAAGTGGCGACGACGGCAGTGGTGGTGGACACCGGCGGAGGCAGCGGAGCGAGCGAGCGAGCGAGCGTGCGGGCCTCACCGCAGGAAGCTGGGCAGCGTGCCGGTCTCGCCGTCGCGCATCGTGTAGGGGTCGACGCGGGAGCAGCGCCACTCGGCGCGTCCCTCGTACAGCGTGTCGGTGACGTGCAGCACGTCCTCGCAGGCCGCGTGCATCGTGCAGCCCTCGGCCAGGCCGCACACGCTCGCGTTGACCAGCACGAAGAACGAGTCGCCCGACGTCACCGTGCCTCCCTCCAGCAGAGCCTGCAGCTTGCGGTGGCCTGCGCAACCCACGCCCCCACAATCACAAGCGCGGCCGCGTATGCGAGATGTTTAACGACGTTTAACAACAACAATACCTTGCTGATCTCGTCCAGGAGCATAAACGATCTCGTATAATTTATTTTCATGCACATTATGTAATGCATCTATCACGAGGATACGTTTTAGTCAATTCACTGATGAATCATTGCATGCTATATGTAAATGCAAAGTCAAACCTCCCCTGTACAGCTTTGAACAGACTCTTGGGGCAAGTGCTGTTATAGTGAGCAACTATGAAGGCCGGCACGGCCTTTGTCTCCCCAGTGTTGATGTTTACACAACGCAACCAGGTAGTCGTTTAAGGCCGAGTATACCAAGGGGATTCCCAGGACCGGTTCAGATATCCGTCACAGATGTTGGCTGCGAGTGTGCATAGAAGTGCCAATGACCACACTGCCGCTCCCCATGCAAACACAAACAGGTCAACCGGGAGTGAACGAGTGCTACATTGCCATTTCTAACCAAGTTTTCCGATTGCCTCCAGCTACCACAAAACTGAGATATGAGATTGCTGCTGCAGCAAACTTGCGTAATGATTAACAGATAGCTAAAGTATATTTATAAAACCCTTTTTTTATGTTACTGGAGAGGAAAAATATTGTGATGTGTTTTATATACCAGTTATTTTTTGACAAAATGTTCCCACTTGGCTTTTTGGGCGTACAGGCTTAGTTTGCGAGCTACAAAAAAAGGCCAAATTAGAAATTTTCCAAAAAATGTACAGAACACCACCACCACATACGATCGCTCCGGAATCTTGTAAACTTGGGTCCGTAATCACACCCCATTACGCCCGCGCCTAGGAAACGAAGGCCATGTGGCTCAGCACGGCAAAGATGTGGCGTCATCCATACCGTCTATGTTGGTGCGCACGAAGAGCTGCACGTGCCCCTGGCAGTGCTGCAGGGCCCAGAGCGTCTCCTCCTTGGTGGAGTTCTCCAGCGACACCTTCTGGACCTCACCTTTCACCTTGCCTTCCAGCTGCATGGGCACGGACATCATCATCATCGTCGTCATCAGCCATGATCAATCCGCTGCTGGACAAAGACCTCCCCAAGCCACCGCCACCACCCCCAACAGGCCCTACACTTTAATGGTGAATGGGTTTTTGTTTTTTGCGCATCCATATTTATCCAGTTGTTTCTCAGAGAACTTTCGTCGACACAAACAAAAAGATCAACAGGAATGACTTTAAGAGGTTTTGGGGGGGGGGGGGGAGGGGGCAAGTGCTGCTTGCGAGCAGCTGTTCAGGCCAAAGTGGTGCACAAGGGGGTGCTATGTATGTACAACTTCTTTTACACCCTACAGAGCCAACCGTGCTAATCGGAGGAGCAAGCCCGCACCACGCCTGGCCAGCCTCGTTTCCACGGTTTTAACGTTTACACACCGCACCAGGCACTCATTTGAGTATTGCTCGATTCAAGGGTGGCTCTGTACCATAACACACACCAGCAGTAAGCAAATTGGCTACTCAAATGCACAGGAGCAGCAAAAGGATAATAGCAATAATAAGAATACATCATCAGCGCCGCTTCATTCGTGTTTGCGTGAGCGTATGCGTGTGTGCGCGTGTTTGCGTGGGTGCGCGACGCTCACGGCGAGCAGCTGGTAGCCGGGCTTGAGGCCGGCGCGCTCCGTGGAGGAGCCGGGACGCACGCTCCGCACGAACACGCCGCTCTCGTTGCCACCGATCACCGTGACGTCGTCGCGCAGCGAGACGGCGCTTAGGCTCGCCTGCAGCGTCGGCCGGACCGGCGCGGCCGGGACGCTCACCGAGTACGCGGACGGACGGAACGGCCTGCGGCGAGAAAGACACGGATCCACCGCTCATCCCCCACCTCCACTTAGCATCACAGCGAACGGAGGGGCGAGCGCTGCCCGCCGAGGTGGATGTGGCACACTAAACGACAGGTGGTTTGGTCAGCGCCACACCCCGGCTACCCGTCTCTCCCCGGTGCTGATGTTTATGCACCACACTATGTACACATTTAAGGCCGAGTCGACCTGCGGGAGGCCCAGGACCGGCTCTGATATTCGTCACCGATGTTGGCTGTGAGTGTGCATAAAACTCGGGGCGGCGCGCACTGCCAAACATCACACTCCCGCTCCCCATACAAACAGGTCCATGGGAATTGAAGCTTTCGTGACTGCAGGAATCCATACTCTTTGGTTCTTTCGGTAAAGTCACGTATACGTGACTTTAAAGTAAACCCAATTGTTAACTTCATTGTGACTTTACCGAAAGAACCAAAGAGTAAGGTCAATGGGATTGAACGAGTGGAACTCTGCTATTTCTAACCAAGTTTTCTATGGCCTAGAGCAACCACAAAACTGAGATGTGTGATAGGAGTAACCCTACGGGACAAGCAGTACAGGGTGATATACGATTTTCCACCGATATGCATGGCTGGGAATTGAACCAGGGTGGCAAACACTTGCAAGCGCACACACACATGGGATGCTCACCTGGTTAGAGAAAAATAAACGGCCAATACAAAAAAAAGCAATTGTTTCTCTGCTAAAATGTTTTTGGACAGTAATTGTATTTCCTCTGGTGATGCTAAAACAGTGACAGGAATTCCATATCACATGGCATCGGACAGAGTACCGACTCATTCCATTGGCTTTGGGAGAGTTGATGTCCAACCAGGCTTAGGAATGGCAACCTTCATAATTACCAGTCAATCGCTCTGCCAAAGTAAATACGTGCATAAATTATTCACAGAACAGTTCTAGATTTGAAGCCTGGATTTTAAAAGTGGCGGCCAAAAGTGACTCAATTGGAGTCTCAAGGTTAGCGAGTTGAATACCTCGGGTCCGGTGAGGTATGACTGCAGAATATAAACCCCAACTTAGATTTTATTTTTATTTCCTTCATTTAATTCCCCGGAGCCAAACGATCTTTGCTATTGATGGCAGGGTCTCCCACCTACATTTAACGCGTTGGCATTCGCCACCAATGTTATGGATCGTCACTTTGTTGTTGTCACAGAACCTCCTCCACCCGACACAGCCAAATAAACAGAATTGTCACGTGTTGAAGAGCAATCCACAATGAAGTTAACAATTGGGTTTATAATTGTTAGTTTTTTGCGTGGATTATCCGCCGAGCTAGTAGCAATGTTAGCCGCTTGTTGCAGGGATTCACGGGTTCGAATCCAGCGGCTGCGCTGATTAATACTGCCCGTGTACCAAGTGTAACAATACGGTGGACGTTAAATATCCTGTGATGTCATTCACGAGAGAAGGCCATTGTGTGCCGGCGTCATGGACCCAAAATTGCAACGTTGGAAATATTACCCACAAATTGGGATTATACGTAACAACCGTTGTCCCCCTACTGTGAAAACAACATGGCAGGACCCTCTTGATAAAAGAGTCATGAGACTCCGTGAGGATTTCCTGGGTAAAACAAAAATATTACGTACGTAGCCCACTGTGCTAATTGGAGGTGCTGGGGGGGGGGGGGGAATGGTAGCGGAAGAGATGATGGCAGGAGATAGCAGGAGCGCAGTTCAGCGGCAGGTTCAGGATTTCAGTTGTAGCTGTTTAAGCTTTGGCCACGATGACATCTTGACCTTCCCCGGTGCACACACCAACGTTGGGCCAAACAACTTGACAGGTTAAAGAGGCACGGGTGCGGCGGTGGCGTGCTTCTGTGTCTGCGTGCTGGCGCCATGTGCCGGGCACCTGCCTGTTGTCAAGGTCAAGCTCCGCCAAGAGGCTCTCCATGTTCCCGAACAGCGAGTCGCAGCCCGAGGAGGCAAGCGACGAGCGGCACGAGCTGCTTCCCGAGCGCTCCCCTGCGTCGCCACATGCGGAGCGAGAGAGACAGCGGCGTCGCGGTCACACACACGGCTCCTCGTCGTTGTCCTCCGCAGGAGGATTTCTCCATTCGCTCGTTTTAACGGAAGGCATCGACGACGCTGTAAATGCCCACCCCCCCCCCCACCCCCCGCTGCCGTCATCACACCTTTAAAAGGAGGAATGGACGAGATCCACTCTGCTTGTGAACAACTGAGTGGATAACAAATAAACAATTGCATCTTTAATCTGCTGTTATTAATCCATACGAAAAGAAGACCGAAAGGCAAAGGTGATAATAAAGCCAGCAACTGCTCGCCCACACGACGTTGCTGGCGGAAAGAGCCTCCGCGCTTCAGCGAGCTCGAGAAGGCTGCAGAGAGCTCCCCTTCTCTATCTCGACAGATTCTCCATTTCATCATTTCGTGTGACAATTCACACGCTTCGACAACGCCTCCCTCGTGCAGAGGTCGCCGGTTTCGTGTCGCGGGATCTCGATTGTCCCCGGGACTAAAGGTAGTTTCACCACCATCAGCCGGTTGACAGGGTTGTGGTTGGATGGGGTAAAGTGTGGGTAGTCCCCTTCTCTTGCGGGATGTTTGGCCAGATCCCTCCAGGAGGCCCTTCTGCTAGCAGCGGCAGGAACAAGTCATTGCAGGGCTGCAACTGTACCTTACGCGTTGCAAAATGCGTACAGTAACACTGTACGCAAGTGATCAATTACATCAATCAAGTGGTCGGTGAAGACGGGCTCTGCCCTCATGTTGTGTAACATTGTGAAAAATGACACGCAATCGCGTACACCATCTTATCTTAATTTATATTTATAGAGCGCTTTAGCTCAAGGCGCTTTGCATAGTTTAGAAAGCGGTTACGACAACAACAGTGATCTAGATGGCAGGGGCTATGCGCAAGGGCCGAGGAATGAGCGACCATAACGGAGGGCAATGGTGGGTCACGGAAGGGCAGGGGAGGGACGGAGTGGAGGGGTGGAGTGGTGAGGGGTGGGGTGAGGAAGGGAATGGGAGGAGAGGTGAGGCTTGAAGAGAGGAATGGAAGAAGGTTACGGAGGGGGGACTGCTTAATATACAGGGGCAGAGTTGAGTCTATGGTGCAGTGTTGAGTCTATGGTGCAGTGTTGAGTCTATGGTGCAGTGTTGAGTCTATGGTGCAGTGTTGAGTCTATGGTGCAGTGTTGAGTCTATGGTGCAGTGTTGAGTCTATGGTGCAGTGTTGAGTCTATGGTGTCAGTGTTGAGTCTATGGTGTCAGTGTTGAGTCTATGGTGCAGTGTTGAGTCTATGGTGTCAGTGTTGAGTCTATGGTGCAGTGTTGAGTCTATGGTGCAGTGTTGAGTCTATGGTGCAGTGTTGAGTCTATGTTGCAGTGTTGATCTATGGTGCAGTGTTGAGTCTATGGTGCAGTGTTGAGTCTATGGTGCAGTGTTGAGTCTATGGTGCAGTGTAGAGTCTATGGTCAAGTGTTGAGTCTATGGTGCAGTGTTGAGTCTATGGTGCAGTGTTGGAGTCTATGGTGCAGTGTTGAGTCTATGGTGCAGTGTTGAGTCTATGGTGCAGTGTTGAGTCGATGGTGGCAGTGTTGAGTCTATGGTGCAGTGTTGAGTCTATGGTGCAGTGTTGAGGTCTATGGTGCAGTGTTGAGTCTATGGTGCAGTGTTGAGTCTATGGTGCAGTTTTGAGTCTATGGTGCAGTGTTGAGTCTATGGTGCAGTGTTGAGTCTATGGTGCAGTGTTGAGTCTATGGTGCAGTGTTGAGTCTATGGTGCAGTGTTGAGTCTATGGTGCAGTGTTGAGTCTATGGTGCAGTGTTGAGTCTATGGTGCAGTGTTGAGTCTATGGTGCAGTGTTGAGTCTATGGTGCAGTGTTTGAGTCTATGGTGCAGTGTTGAGTGGCTATGGTGCAGTGTTGAGTCTATGGTGCAGTGTTGAGTCTATGGTGCAGTGTTGAGTCTATGGTGGCAGTGTTGAGTCTATGTGCAGTGTTGAGTCTATGGTGTCAGTGTTGAGTCTATGGTGCAGTGTTGAGTCTATGGGCAGTGTTGAGTCTATGGTGCAGTGTTGAGTCTATGGTGCAGTGTTGAGTCTATGGTGCAGTGTTGAGTCTATGGTGCAGTGTTGAGTCTATGGTGCAGTGTTGAGTCTATGGGCAGGGTTGAGTCTATGGTGCAGTGTTGAGTCTATGGTGCAGTGTTGAGTCTATGGGCAGTGTTGAGTCTATGGGCAGTGTTGAGTCTATGGTGCAGTGTTGAGTCTATGGGCAGTGTTGAGTCTATGGTGCAGTGTTGAGTCTATGGTGCAGTGTTGAGTCTATGGTGCAGTGTTGAGTCTATGGTGCAGTGTTGAGTCTATGGGTGCAGTGTTGAGTCTATGGTGCAGTGTTGAGTCTATGGTGCAGTGTTGAGTCTATGGTGCAGTGTTGAGTCTATGGTGCAGTGTTGAGTCTATGGGCAGTGTTGAGTCTATGGGCAGTGTTGAGTCTATGTTGCAGTGTTGAGTCTATGGTGCAGTGTTGAGTCTATGGTGCAGTGTTGAGTCTGTGGTGCAGTGTTGAGTCTGTGGCGCAGTGTTGAGTCTGTGGCGCAGTGTTGAGTCTGTGGCGCAGTGTTGAGTCTGTGGCGCAGTGTTGAGTCTGTGGCGCAGTGTTGAGTCTGTGGCGCAGTGTTGAGTCTGTGGCGCAGTGTTGAGTCTGTGGTGCAGTGTTGAGTCTATGGACAGTGATCAGTCTATGGTGCAGTGTTGAGTCTATGGACAGTGTTGAGTCTATGGACAGTGTTGAGTCTATGGACAGTGTTGAGTCTATGGTGCAGTGTTGAGTCTATGGTGCAGTGTTGAGTCTTTGTTGCAGTGTTGAGTCTTTGTTGCAGTGTTGAGTCTATGGTGCAGTGTTGAGTCTATGATGCAGTGTTGAGTCTATGTTGCAGTGTTGAGTCTATGGTGCAGTGTTGAGTCTATGGTGCAGTGTTGAGTCTATGGTGCAGTGTTGAGTCTATGGTGCAGTGTTGAGTCTATGGTGCAGTGTTGAGTCTATGGTGCAGTGTTGAGTCTATGGTGCAGTGTAGAGTCTATGGTGCAGTGTTGAGTCTATGGTGCAGTGTTGAGTCTATGGTGCAGTGTTGAGTCTATGGTGCAGTGTTGAGTCTATGGTGCAGTGTTGAGTCTATGGTGCAGTGTTGAGTCTATGTTGCAGTGTTGAGTCTATGGTGCAGTGTTGAGTCTATGGTGCAGTGTTGAGTCTATGGTGCAGTGTGAGTCTATGGGCAGTGTTGAGTCTATGTGCAGTGTTGAGTCTATGGTGCAGTGTTGAGTCTATGGTGCAGTGTTGAGTCTATGGTGCAGTGTTGAGTCTATGGGCAGTGTTGAGTCTATGGTGCAGTGTTGAGTCTATGGTGCAGTGTTGAGTCTATGGGGCAGTGTTGAGTCTGTGGTGCAGTGTTGAGTCTGGTGCAGTGTTGAGTCTATGGTGCAGTGTTGAGTCTATGGTGCAGTGTTGAGTCTATGGGCAGTGTTGAGTCTATGGTGCAGTGTGAGTCTATGCAGTGTTGAGTCTAGGTGCAGTGTTGAGTCTATGGTGCAGTGTTGAGTCTATGGTGCAGTGTTGAGTCTATGGTGCAGTGTTGAGTCTATGGTGCAGTGTTGAGTCTATGGTGCAGTGTTGAGTCTATGGTGCAGTTGAGTCTATGGTGCAGTGTTGAGTCTATGGTGCAGTGTTGAGTCTATGGTGCAGTGTTGAGTCTATGGGCAGTGTTGAGTCTATGATGCAGTGTGAGTCTATGGTGCAGTGTTGAGTCTATGGTGCAGTGTGAGTCTATGGTGCAGTGTTGAGTCTATGGTGCAGTGTTGAGTCTATGGTGCAGTGTTGAGTCTATGGTGCAGTGTTGAGTCTATGGTGCAGTGTTGAGTCTATGGTGCAGTGTTGAGTCTATGGTGCAGTGTTGAGTCTATGTTGCAGTGTTGAGTCTATGGTGCAGTGTTGAGTCTATGGCATAGTCTATGGCGCAGTGTTGAGTCTATGGTGCAGTGTTGAGTCTATGGGTGCCAGTGTTGAGTCTATGGTGCAGTGTTGAGTCTATGTGCAGTGTTTGTCTTGGTGCAGTGTTGAGTCTATGGTGCAGTGTTGAGTCTATGGTGCAGTGTTGATCTATGGTGCAGTGTTGAGTCTATGGTGCAGTGTTGAGTCTATGGCAGTTGAGTCTATGCAGGTTGAGTCGATGGTGCAGTGTGAGTCTATGGTGCAGTGGTTGAGTCTATGGTGCAGTGTTGAGTCTATGGTGCAGTGTTGAGTCTATGGTGCAGTGTTGAGTCTATGTGCAGTGTTGAGTCTATGGTGCAGTGTTGAGTCTATGGTGCAGTGTTGAGTCTATGGTGCAGTGTTGAGTCTATGGTGCAGTGTTGAGTCTATGGTGCAGTGTTGAGTCTATGGTGCAGTGTTGAGTCTATGGTGCAGTGTTGAGTCTATGGTGCAGTGTTGAGTCTATGTGCAGTGTTGAGTCTATGGTGCAGTGTTAAGTCTATGGTTCAGTGTTGAGTCTATGCTGCAGTGTTGAGTCTATGTGCAGTGTTGAGTCTATGGTGCAGTGTTGATCTATGGTGCAGTGTTGAGTCTATGGTGCAGTGTTGAGTCTATGGTGCAGTGTTGAGTCTTGGTGCAGTGTTGAGTCTATGGTGCAGTGTTGAGTCTATGTGCAGTTGAGTCTATGGGTGCAGTGTTGAGTCTATGTGCAGTGTTGAGTCTATGGTGCAGTGTTGAGTCCTATGGTGCAGTGTTGAGTCTATGGTTGGCCAGTGTTGAGTCTATGTGCAGTGTTGAGTCTATGGTGCAGTGTTGAGTCTATGGTGCAGTGTTGATCTATGGTGCAGTGTTGAGTCTATGGTGCAGTGTTGAGTCTATGGTGCAGTGTTGAGTCTATGGTGGCAGTGTTGAGTCTATGGTGCAGTGTTGAGTCTATGGTGCAGTGTTGAGTCTATGGTGCAGTGTTGAGT